AGTAAGGTCATTGGTTTTGTTGTGAAAATGCATCAGATCTGTCCTGGGATCATCAACTACTATTACAGTGTCAGCTGCCCAACTCCAGGCCCTTCTGGCTACCACCTCCAATGCCTTGGAGTTGCTTGGCTCGGAGGGGCCTGTGACTATAAAAGCAATATCATCAATAAAGGAGGGGGATCTTAGCTGTGGTGTTAAAACTCCTGGTTCCATGTTCTTGAACAAGTTTGTCAAGTATAATAAGCAGAGGATTGGTGAAATGGGAGAGTCTTGAGGAATGCCTGTGTTGACTGGTAGGACAGGTTGTCTTTGTCCATCAAAATCTAACCCCAGTTGTCTGTTGGAGAGGAAGCTATCTGTCCAGGTAAGAACTGGGGGAGGAAATCCTAAAGACTGTAGCACCAAGAGTAGTTATGTTTTGCTAACATGGTCAAATGCACCTCTGACATCAACAAAGAGGGCAGAAAGAACTTTACCATTCAACTTGGCCTGCTGAATATCATGTGTTAATGCTATCACTGCATCCACTGCACTTCTTCCTTTCCTTCCTGCCATTTGCTCTGACTATAGCAGGCCTTTAGTTTCTGCAATATAAGCTAGCCTGTTGGCCATAATCTTTTCTGAAATTGTTCCTAAGCAGTTTAGCAGAGAGACAGGTCTATATGCTTTGGGGGTAGTATATTCTGGTTTGTTAGGTTTTCTGATTATAGCTCCAGTTGCCTCTCTCCAGTATGGGAGATAATAACCTGTCTTCAGTACAGCTTGAAACAACTTAACAATAGGAATAGGAATTGCATGATAGACTTGCCTCAGACAAAGAAAGTTAACACCGTCAGGTCCTGGGGCTTTGTGAGGTACAGATTTGAAGATTGCATCTTTTACCTCAGTGTCAGCAATATCATACCAGGGAAAGCACTTATCTATTTCTGTGTCCTCATGGCTCAAAGTTGTTTTGCTTGCAGGTGGATTAGGGAACATGGCTTGTCTGAACATCATGCATTTACTATCAAACTCAGTAGCACACTGTTGGTCAAAAGCGAGGGGTGGAGTTTTGAGGGACTTAGTTGGTCTAGTATACTTAACTGCAGTGAAGATATCCTGACCTCTAGCAGTATTGAGGACACTCTGCCAGCAGTTAGCTTTGTAGTCTCTGATCTTCCTAAAGTATTTGTTCCTAGATCTTTTGTAGTCAGTGTAGTCAGTCTCAAGTCTGGAGGGTTTCCATTTTCTGCAACATTTGGCCCTCTCAGTCCTCTCATGGTAGCAAGTTTCTCAGTCCACTCTACCTCTTTGATCTAGAGCAAGGTTTGCTAATAGGAACATGGAGGGAGACGGACTGGTGGATTGAGTCTGTCAGAATAGAGGCAGCCTGGTCTAAGCATTCAGCTGTGCCATCATCATTGAGAGGAGTAAAAATAGGGGAAGACTTAGCCATCAATTCCAGAAGTATTTTCTGAAATGACTCCCAGTCTGCTACCTTCCAGTTGAATTTGTTGCTCATAGGACTTATAGGACTTGGAACTAAGTTGTCAGTATTCAATACCAGAGAGAATCTTACCACCTCCTGATCACTTCCACTATGTTTATGCTGATCTACGGCCCAGTCAATAAGTCTTTCAAAGATATCAGGTGTAGCCACTATTAAGTCCAAAATTGAAGTCCCATTCAAGTGTCTGTAGTTGTATGTAGGTGTATCTGGACAGTTGACTAGATCACATCTGTTAGCTCTAAACCAGTCTCCTAGTATGTCACCTCTGATTTGTTGTTCAGCTCCAGAGTTCTACCACCTGTGATGAGCATTGAAGTCACTACAAAGGTTAGACAATGGAGGTTGTTGTAGGTACTGTAGTGTTCTATCCATAGTATAGACTGGTCTAGAGTCTGGTATCAGTTATCTTCTTTCATTATAAATATTCCAAAGGATAAACTTCTCTGTTCCAGCTAGAATCTGGAGTCGGAGGATATCACCATCAAGGTCAGGAAGAGACTCCCTTGCCATTACAACCACAGCAAACAAACAAACCACACCCAATTTTTCACCAATCTTCCACCTCAGTGACTGACAGCCAACTCTCACAGCTTTCCCTGTCCTTTCTGAAGACTTTTCATCAACAAATCATCTTTTATTATTTGTTTTCCATTACCTTTATCAACTGAGTCACGCTGTTAACCACTCTGATTCCAGCTAAAGGCAAAGGCAGAGGTAAAGGGGCCTCAAACCCCCTTACAAGATCTTTTCAACCATAGATACCCTACCAATACCTCACCTCGCCTACCGACACCCCCATGGAGGAAGATGAGATGGAGGATGCCCCATATACAGTCCAGACAGTTGCTGCTTCTACATCTGCTGTTGTGGAATCAGACGAAACTACCTTCACTCTGCTTGAGGGAAAGTCCCGGACCATTGAAACGATCACCAGAAGGCTCTACACAGTCAACAAAGCCCACAACCAGATGGATGAGATTATCCAAGCTACGAAGCAGCACCTGATGGTTGTTCAAGATCACCACATCAAGGGTGTCCAGGACCTCCAAGACCAGGGTGCCACCATGACAGACAAAGTTGTGGAGTTGTGGTCTCAACAACTCCTCCAACAACCCTCTACCACCCACTAATCGACTCTACCTCCACCTGCCACGATACAAACCTGGGCCTGGAAAGCTACCAGAGCAGTCCCAGTCCAACCCTCTACCTCCCGACCTAAGAAAAACTCCTCTTCTGCCCATGCTGACCAAACATGATTGTACCAATGTCATTAAAAGAGATGGGACAGTCCTACCTGACAACACCAACCACCTTACCATCCACGATACTGTGAATAAAGCAATCAAGAAGCAACTGATTTCCAACATTGAATTCACCCCCAACCATCACGTCCTCCTCATCACCAAGGAGAATACCCCTGCCTGCACTGTCCTCAAAAACCACCCCTTTGCTATTGAGGAGGCTATCAGAGACACCATTCCTGTGGCTAGTGGCCTCAGAAAGGATAAGGTCTGGCAAACGGGGATTGTTCATGGCATTCCTACCACTTCTACCTTTCCCACTGTCCAGGCTGAGATTGAGACCTTCAATCCTGGCACCCACCTCCCCCATCCACCTAGGTGGCTCATAACTGAAGCCCAAAGTAAGGACAAGGCAGCGTCTGCCATGGTGCTCACGATTGCAGGCACAGACTCCACAGAAAAAGCCCTCAGCAGAGGCCTGTCACTATGTGGCAGGAAGTTCAAGGTGCAATGGTACCTAACCTTTGGTCCAGACACTCAATGCTCCAGATGCTTGGACTTTGGTCACCACCCAACAGAATGCAACAAAACCCCCCACTATGCTATCTGTTCTCAGAAATACCCAGCTCACCTCGACCTTTGTGCCAGATCAGACTACCCTACCAAGGGCAAGCCTTACCTCACACAACTATTAGGGGCCTCAACCGTGGCAATGACTAGGTGGCTACCTCCAAGGAGTGTCCCACCTACCTTCATGCACACTGGGCAGTGACTGAGAGGAGGAATAGGACTGCTTAGGTTTCGTTACATGTGTTTCCTTTATCATATTGGTGAGGCATTAGGTGGGGTGGGGGATTTCCTTGCATCATTATGTCTTGTGCCCACTGAACAGTTGCTACTAGCATGTCAGAAATAGCTCTTTCCAGCACTCATTTGATGTATTCTCCCGGCCAGGAAGCGGTCGAGTCCCATAAAGGGGGGCGGGGCCTCCGGCGGAGGATAGCAATAGGATACAGGGGGGGGGGGCTGCAGCGCCCAGTCCTGAGAAAGGAGGGACCATGTGGTGGCTTGCAGGAGGGAGTACTTTTGTGAGAAGGAAAGATTGTTGACCAACCCAGGGACCAGGTCCCTGTTCAGGCCCGGAAGAGTCCCCCTGGTGGCGATCCGAGACAGCGAGTGAGCTATGCCATCAATAGGGAGGTGGAGTGATACGGCAGGAGCAGGCCTCGGAGTCTTTCAGAGGAGGGGGTAGGCGTTCCCCTTCAGCCCAACAGACAGGGCCCGGTTGGAGTCCGGGGCCCTGGATGCTGACGCAGAGGGAAAGGATGAGGGCAGCCTGGCCGAAGCCGGGTTTACCTCTGGTGGCAAGCAGGCCATCCTTAAGGCCGCAATTTGGTACTTATGGGGAAGAAGGACTACCAGAGGGGGGATGCTGGCCTGGCAGGGGAGGATCGAGGTAGGGGTACAGTAGAAGCAGTTGGTCACCCATCAAAGGACCCGGTTCCAGAAGACCTGTATCTTGTAGAGTGCAGAACCATTGGGTACCAGGGCCTGACACCACCTCCAGACTTGACATCACTATCAGCCAGGAAGACAAAGACACTGCAGCCAAAAGTCATATTACTCTCCTCAACTCCCTCATCAATTCAGAAAACCTTGGTCTCTACACAGATGGAAGTGAACTGCAAAATAGAGGAGTAGGAGCAGGAGTGGTAATGATGCATGGTGGTGGGATTGTTGGAAGATGGAGAGTTGGATTAGGATGTGGGATGAAGGTGTATGATGGGGAATTGGTAGGTATTGCCAGAGCACTCACAGAAGCCAGCAGGTCCAGCCTATCCTTGAAGCACATCTGGGTTTTCACAGACAACCAAACAGCAATCAGCAACACTCACAGACTCTCTCCCCACCCTGGACAACAAATTTCTCAACAGATTCAACAACTTACAAAGGACCTTCTATCCTCTGACCTTGACTTACAGATTCATCTCTATTGGGTACCAAGTCACACTGGTATTCAAGGTAATGATGAAGCTGACAGACTTGCAAAACAAGCAGCTGAGTATCCCCAACCTGATATAGACAGTTATCTCTCACTGACCAAATTGAAGAGACAGATCAAGCAGTCTGCCCTTAAAGCCTGACACCAGGACTGCACACAGCTACAACCAGCTAAACAGGGCAGACATTATAGGTCTATCCACTTCCACCTACCTTCTCTGCATCCTCCACTACACTTCTTTCAGCTCCACAGACCACAACTTGCAACTGTCACCCAACTTAGACTTGGGCATGGCTACTTCAATTCCTATCTTAGCAGATTGGATGAGAATGTTAGTGACAGATGCAGTTGTACTAAGAGCATACCACCACCACAGACACCAGAACACCTGATCCTATACTGCAGCAGATACCAACAGCATAGACACCTCCTAAGATCAGTAGCTCAACACTTTCACCTCCCAGATGTGCTTGGATCTAAGGCTGCGCTACAGGCTTTAGGAGAGTTTGGGAGAAAGAGTTGGGTTGCAACTAGGCAAGGCCACCTTGGACAAGTGCCAGAGTGTGAGGTCTCTGGCAATGGAAGTAGTAGGATGGAGGATACAATTTGGGAAGAGGGGGAAAGAGGACTGGGATATGAATGGGAGGAGACAGAGGTGGAGAGATGGAGGGAATGGAGGATGGCAGCAGGCCAGGGGCTGG